AATTTCATAAAATAATTAATTAATATTTATTTTAATTTTAGTTTATAATTTATTTTAAAATTTTTATGATAGCAAATTATAAAGAGGGCTTCTAAAGATTTAATAAAAAGAGTAAAATACTCTAAAAAAAAAGAATTTAAGTTGGCTGTAGAGTATTACCTAAAGACAAATTATTCTAAATTATTTCAAAAAAGTTAAAGAAATAGTAAAATACTTACTATAAGAAGAATTTTTATAAACTAATAAAAAAATTTTTAAAATTTTTATTAAACAAGTATTGTCAAAAAAAAAATAACAGGATGTGGTGACCTAGTGAAGTGGTTAGGTTGTCAACTCTCCAAGTAGTAGGTTGGGTGTTCAAATCCTATCGATGACGAAACTTTGGATAATCACCTATGTAATATTCATATTATGGCAACTGTTACTAATGATTGGGTTGGGATATCTGTAATGGTGGTCGTATCAGCATGACTGGCAGGTCATGGGGCATCTGTGCAATGTTGGAGTTACACAGAGAAATGCAAACTGACAAATCAGGTGGTGCAAACACTAGATAAGTTCTTGTGGCAGTGTAAATCCGTTGAAATTGGGTAACAAGAAGTTCATTTGGAAAGACCTAAGTAGAGAGGTAGCTGGATCTTTGACAGCTCTACTGTAAAGGCTAGCTTGGCGAAACAGATACTCAGGTTTAGTACTCAGTTCTAGTAGCCAGACAGGCAAAAACCTCTAGTTGGGAGTCTCAAAGGTACCACCAACCAGGCTGCCAGAACGAACTAAAAAAAAAAGAATATCGGGCTAACCTGATATACTGATGAACTAGTTATAGTTTTACACAAGCTATCTGGATTGGAAGTTTGGTAAAAGGGCAGAAGAAAAGGCAGAAGTATACTAAAGTACCAGGGTTATGCTATAAAGTAGATGCTGGGGTTTAAGTGAACTTTACAAGGACATAATAGTTTAATGATTAGCCCTGACTGCAAGTGTTGGTTCTGTTATAGCAATACCTAGGTCAGTTGTAAAAATGGGTACAGAAGGCTCTGAAAGGTTTACCTTGAGGATAAATTAGTGCTAAGGTTGAGGATGATGATCTGATATATCTGAGATGACCAGTGATGTTAACACAAATTACAGGTTTAGAGGGTTTAAAGTGGAACACCCAAGCAGGAGTATTAGGTACAGCAATTGGTTGGGAACCTTTGGGCAGACTTCTTAAATAGGTAATATAGAAAAGTTACATGTATAGCCAATTGTATGCTCTCCTGTAATGGTTCATTGAACCACAATACTAATAAGTGATTAATAAAAGTCAAAAGGCCAAAAAGGTCATCTTAATATAAAAAAAAATAAAAAATAAAAATAAAAAAATTTATATGACTACAAAGACTTATCTAGTGTTTGTAATATTTAGTTGTTAGTTTGTATTCTTCTGTATAACTCCAACTTTGTACAAATGTTCCATAATTTGCCAATTATGCTAGTATAATCATTATTACAGATATTCTAACTCAATTATTAGTAACAATTACTATAATATGAATATTATATAGATGATTATCCAAATTTCACTATCAATAGGATTTGAATATCCAACCTATCACTTGAAAGGTTAACAACCTGACCACTTCACTAGGTTGCTACATCTTTTGAATTTATTAATTTTCATAATTTTATTTTTATATTTGATTATAAAAATTAATTAACTTCTTTATTTGGTTAGTAAGATTACAGAATTACAAATATATTATTTTTAGTATTGTACACAGAGTAACAGAATTAGAAAAACAATATTTATATATAATATTTAGTTTTGTGTTTAAATATAAGTTATTTCAAATAGATTCAAATTTATGTCATCTATTAGAAACTTTATACATATATAAACAATAAGAATTTAAAAAGTATATAAAACTAGACAATATTGACTGTAATTAGTTATTATAAAAAATAGTTTAATTTATAATTAAATATTATATTTTTTCTTTTTAGTTCAAATATCATATTTATACATAATAAAAAAAAAATACTACAAAGTATAAAAAAATGTACTAACAAAGTTTTAAAAAATATTAATAATATAAAATTCTAAAATTATCATATAATAATTAAATAATAAAATTCTTGAAAACATATTTTTATGCAAATTAATTTACTATTTTTTTTTTTTTTTTGGTATTAAGATAATCTTTTTGGTCTTTTGACTTTTATTAATTACTTATCAGTATTATGATTCAATAAACCACTACAAGAGAGCATACAATTAGCTACATATATAACTTTTTTATATTACTTATTTAAAAAGTCTGCTCAAAGGTTTTTTACTAATTTCTGTATTTAACATCTCTGCTTAGATGTTTTACTTTAAACCTTCTGAATCTGTAATCTGTATTAATTTACTGAATCATACTCAGATGCCTAGATCATCATCTTAACCTTAGGACTAATTTATTCTTGAAATAAACCTCTTAGAGCCTTCTGTATCTATTTTCACAGCCAATTTAGATATCATTATAGCAGAACCAACACTTGCAATTAAGACTAACTATTAAACTGTTATGTCTTTGTAGAATTTACTTAGATTCTAACATCTATTTTATAACATAATTCTGATACTTTAGTATACTTCTGTCTTTTCTTTTGTTTTTTTACTAAACTCCTAATTTAAATAGTCTATATAGAACTATAACCAGTTTATTAGTATATTAAGTCAGCTTAATATTCTTTTTCTCTAGTTCATTTTAATGACCAAATTGGAAATACTCTTAAGACTTTCAAGCCAAAGATTCTTGTCTGTTCAATTATTATGACCAGGTACTAGACCTTAGTATTTGTTTCATCAGACTAACCTTTACAATAAGATTGTCAAGGATCCAACTACCTTTCTACTTGAGTCTTTTCAAATGAACTTTTTGTTACCTAATTTTAATAGATTTATACAACTATAAGAACTTATTTAATGTTTACATTGCCTGATTTGTCAGTTTGCATTTCTTTATGTAACTTCAATATTATACAGATGTCTTATAATCTGCCAATCATACTAATATATTGCTATTACAAGTATTTTAATCTAATTATTAGTAATAGTTATTATAATATAAATATTACATAAATGATTATTTAAATTTTTATTATTGATGGGATTTGAATACCCAAACTACCACTTGGAAGATTGACAACTTAACCAATTCACTAGGTTACCATATCCCATTTACTATTTTAATGATAATCATTTTTCATATTAAAAAAATATTTTTTTCAATAAAATTTAATACAGTACTTGAAGTTTATTACAATGTAATATACAGGTATTACAAAATAAACATATAAATTATTATGATTATAAGCTGTTAAAAACTTTAGTCTTGATTATTGCAAATTGTATCAAAATATCTTAAAATTTAATTTCAGAATTACTTCGGATGTCGATCACGAGGTCCGGATTTGCAGGACATAAGGGGGATTTACTTATTTGTACCGGTAATACAATCCAAAAAAGGAAATTTGATTTTATAAATAAACAAAGTATGTAAAACATAAATTTAGAGTTGGAACGTTAACATTAGATGCTATAGCAATAGACTATCATTCATTAGATGTAAAATATCGTTTCCGACATTTTTAATTAGTACACCAAGGCTGGTTTAAACACTAGTTTTTGATTTTTTTTTTCGCTTTTTCTTCTTTTACACACGTTCGGAATTCATGTCGGGCTGATTCACTGATTGGTTATTTTCTTTTTAGGAGTTTGTATTACCGGCACAAATAAGTAAAGCCGACATAAGGGTACCCCCGCACTAACCCTAAATTTTAAGAGGGGTTATTTTGACCCGGGTCAAAATAGAATTTCCAATATAATAATTATAAAAGTATAAGTACAATAATTACAATAATTATAAGTTATAAAACACATAATAATCTAATTAACTAATAAAGATTTTACATGCAAACAAACACACTAAACAAAATTTCAATTATATTGAAGATAAATTAAATGCAAATTTCAAAAAAACCAAGTACGTACGCGAATAAACAACATGTAAACTGTCAATAATTATGCACATTGCTAATATAAACATGTCCAAATCTATATATTAAAGCTCTACAATGTGCCTGACCGTTTTAAAAATATTGTAATTTGCTTGCTTATACAGGCATAAAAACATAAATCCTTTCGAAAAAAAACGCGGTTTGACTTTGAGGTTATAACTTGACAGACTCAAACCTTGGAAATTTTGATTACAACCTATTACGGCACTTACAATGATTATTGCAATTGCAGCCATAACAGAATTACGACAATACGAAATATTTACAACTTCAAGTATTAGAGTTGCAACCCAGGTTGTAATTCGTAATGTCCATAAGTATTACTTACGGCCGGCAACCTTAACGGACATGCCGAACTTTTTTCCCACGTCCGATCATTATTCCAATGAAGTAAAAATCCCGATTTCAACCCAAAAATATGTAGTAATGTCAAAAAAAAGGGCCAGGTCGCAGCCCTATATTCGACAACAGGAGGCTATAGAATAGTAATACCATAATCCGTGTATTTATAATAATAATTCATGACACCAGCACATTTAATTATGGCACTACAATTCTCCAAACATTATATAAAGACATACCTGATTTTAAGAAAGAAAACGCAATGATTGAGTGATCAAACATAAGAGTATGTGATCATAGAATGCATATGATTTATTATTCACAACAGCTTTGAGTTCAGTAACCGACTTATGGGCGAACAGTCATAAGTAATGAAATATGACAATTTCGGAACCATAACGGTCCTGTTAGCTCTAAACTGTTATTACTCTTTTAATGCAAACAATCATTGCCAATAAACCATGAAAAGAACAAATAAACCCAAATAAACTCTAATAAGTAAATACTCATGCATATAATCAAGTTGATTCGCGCCTATTAAAAGGTTGCTATAATAATTGCACGCAACACGATGAGCAACAGTTAAAAGATAGGCAGTTAAAATACTGTACCTAAAGGTATAACGATGCCGTAAATATTATTCCCCTCCTAAGTTTTTCACGAGCTTCAGAAAACTTGGTCTCCAAATCACTTGTCCCAATGATCTTCGCCGCTGAAATCATCGCACGCATTAATTCGTCTAAGCTTCTAAAATTTCGAACAATGTTACCTTCAAACATATTTATGCGTGCGCAAGTTTCTCTAAAAGTTGCGTTCTATAACAAATAAAAGCGTTAATGTAAAATAAATAAGCAATTAAAAGTAACAATATCAAATGAGCTTACATTGCACCAGTGATATACACCTTCCATTAATGCTGGTGAAAAGCTCGCTAGATACACGTCTTTTTCAATAGGAATATTGCATTCTTCAGTTACATCAGCTATGATTTTCGCAGTTTCCTGAACCTTGCGAAATAATACATTGTACTCTTGTGGAAGCATGCCTGTTGGTTCACTTGGTATTTCGTCACATACAAAACAGCTTAGCAAAGCTGCAGTCATTGAAACCGATAATTCATTAAATACACCGTTTAATAGTAGTTCAGTTAAAACCAATTCATCACCAGAAGTAAGTTCACATGCAACTCGACCCTTGAATTCAACTATATCATTTGAAGACAAGTATCCCAACCGGCGAAGTAGGCGTTTTCGCTTTTTGAGTTCATCAAGATGAAGTATTAATTCAGATTCGCGAAGTTGTTTTTGAATTAATTGAATTCTATCTCGAATTTTCAGTTTCTTCAGATAATTATCATAAATTTCTGGAGAATTTGTGGTTGGATTTTGATTTAGTTGTGATTTTATTACTTCCAATTTCTATAAATAACTATATGTTAGACAAATTAAATTTTCGTCAAAATAACAATCATATACTCACCTGCGAAAGACCAGAAAGCCTTTCATCTTTAATATTGAGGTGTTCTTGAGGATCCATTGGACGGCCATCAGGCTCTTCAGAAATAAGCCTCAAAACGCTTTTATATACTGCATTTCTTTGTGTGACATCATGTTCCAAATCATCAACATTTGATTTAAATCGAAATTGACTTAATATACGTAGATCTTCAAGACCTACTGGAATAATCTGTAGATGCCATTTAACAGAATATAATGATTAACTATTTTGTTAATTGTATAATTTGTGCAAATACATGTAGTTTATAATGATAATTTACCATACAAACACCTTGCTCATTTGGCTGGCATGGTTTCACATCAAGATCTACTCCATCATAAGATGAGAACGAATCTCTAGTTACTTTTACTAATACTTTAATTTTGTATGTAATTTCTTCCGAATTATAATCTGCTCGTATTCTAGACATGATAGCATTATTATCATAAGGCTCTTGCCGCTTGATAAAAAAGCACGAAATTAATGCGTTTTCGCTTGGAAATCCAATCTAACATAAACATTAATAATCCTTACCACCAATTCATCACAACGTACTATGACACCCCATCCAAAGTCCATGCCATTGAATTTAACCTTCACCAGTCTGCCTCTATTTAAGTAAGTCAAACAATGCTCTGGCTTAAAGATTATGTCTCGGACTTGTTTTTCAAATTCATCTTGAAGCAGATGCAGGTTGTGGTATTGAAAAACCAATTCCTCTTGAGGAATTTCAATCATGGAGTACTCCCTTTCTAATTTTGATATTTCTGGTTTATTTAATAAACAGAATTAATGTAATTAATAAAATAGCAAATACAAAAATTTTGCAACAAATAAATTTTTGTATACCTTCTTTCAAACGAGGTATAGGTGCAGCATTTTGAAATTGATAAAAACTATGCTCCAACATATACTCAGGGCTAATTCCTTCGATCCTGGAAATATTAAGAATCATGTGATATTTTAAGTGAAATGCGGATGACATATAATCAGCTTCGCCCTAGATAATAAAGAAAACATTAATATTCATTTTAATATGAAGTAGGAAATCATTAAAATATACCTTGAATATTTCTTGTAGGTCTTTAGGCGTGATTGCTCTATCTACATTCATAATAACGAATCCACGTGTGTCAAGGCCTCTCCTACCGGCACGGCCAGACATCTGAATATATTCACCTGATGTTATCTATTCTCGAAATATACGATTAAATGATAAGAAAAAAAACAAAGATTTAACAAGTTTTCAAACGAATTAAACAAATTAAAGACAGCCTACACTTCTTGACTTTGTTCCATCGAATTTAGACAGTTCACAAAATACTACTGTTTTTGCCGGCATATTTAATCCCATAGAAAACGTTTCAGTAGCAAACAGAACCTTAATCAATCCCTCTTGAAATAGAAGTTCAACTATTTCTTTCATAAAAGGTATTAAACCCGAATGGTGTACGCCAATTCCACGCCGCAAGAGCGGTAATAAATTCTGAAACCACGGTAAATCGCGATCTTCTTCTGATAAAAGCTCGATGGCATTATCAATGACTTTCTTTATCAGTTCTTTTTCTTCTTCTAAATAAATTTAAATAAATAATTAAGCTACATTATATTAAATAATAGTCAGAATAATATTGATAGTAATTTGAACGCTTGCCAGTATTAAAATCCATTGAACTCATCTGTCTCGCAAACAATTCACATTGTTTTTTCGAGAAAGCGAAAGCGATAACAGGATTGAGGTTTTTCACCATTAAGGTTTTAATAAGTTTATACACATTCGTTAGTTCGGTACCTATATTAAATTATTATAGTTAATAATACAATATTAGAAGTGTTCGTTTCATTATTTATACCTTTTTTGGACATGTGTGCGGAGGGTAGAAAAGAATTTGGTGGTTGTTCTAAAATGGAGACAGCTTGTTGAAAATTATCTTCGCGAAATCGACCGTTCTCATCAACTACCAGATATATTCCTTCTGCACCATCTGGGAACACATAATGTTGTAAGGGAGTTGGGCGGAAATCTGTATACACAACGTGACAGACCTTGGAACAATTTCAAAATGAGATAAACTTTTACATCCAATTGACTATAATTTCACATCTAACTTTTCATAGATATGCTACCTGTTGATGAATATCACATATCCATTCTGCAAATTCAAGAGCATTTGGAATCGTAGCTGACAAGAAAACAAGGTGTACATTATGAGGTAATAAAATAATCGTTTCCTCCCATACAACCCCACGCACTAAAAATATACCATATTTATTAGAATATTATCTCATTATCACTATGATTGGTATAATCATGCTAAACGGGAACTCACCTTTATCACGCATATAATGAATCTCATCAAAAATCACCCATGCCACTTCTCGCAGTATCTCATTTCCTCGATACACCATGCTACGTAAAATCTACACGGTCAAAGGAATTATTTAGTATAACGATTATTATAGTCCTTTTAAACAAAATAAAACGTTTCTCCAACCTCAGTGGTCATCACTAAACAACTGGAGCTTGGGTTGAGAGTCACATCTCCGGTCATCAAACCAACGTCCTTAAATTCATGTTGTAATTCTCTATATTTTTGGTTACTCAAAGCCTTTAAACATATCATATTAATCAATTTTTGAATTTAAGCGAAAATATATTAATTAGAAAGGTTCTCGTAAACTACCTTTATTGGACTTGTGTAAATGACTCTTTGCTTGTTTTTTAAACTTTGAGCAATAGCATACTCTGCGACAACAGTCTTACCGGCGGAAGTGTGAGCACTAACCAAGACCGATTCTAATCTTTCAATACACGCAATGGCTTTTTCTTGAAAGGGATCCAACGTAAATGGATAAGTCCTGGCTGGAACCCCGGTTCTCACAACTGGCTTTGAATCATAAGGAAGTTTTCCATGGGCAATTTCGTGCCGAACCTTAAAATTTCAGCCACATTACCCTCAGTAACTTGCTTCGTTCCTAATATATCACTCATAAATAGAGCTATTTACCTCAGGAGCCTTTACATCAGCCTTCTTAACAAAACTCGTAGGAAACATTGATAAAATCTAAAACAGTTCAAAAGATAACAGATCCAAATTATGCTTTTTGAAAGTGAAGTTCGCCGTGAATTACATGACCTCTGTGTTACCAAAAAAATACTAAATCGCGTTAGCTTAAGATTAATTTAGGCCAGCATTGACGTTAAGGATAAATTCATACAGGATTGCAACTAAATAGCACTACGTAGCGATATCACGAAAAAATTCTGACATATAGAATTAAAATAAGCCCAATTTTGGTCAAATTTGATTATATCGATATGGTTGTCGTAATATCGTTAGTGCTATTTTAGATGCTAGAAATAGTGTTTTTCTGAGTCCAACAGTAAAATATAACAAATCTATCTCGGGAAGTAGGTTAGTGCCCAATCGGCCGGGCCGATGATTGTTTGGTTGTCAAATTAACGTAAATAATTTAAATCTGCCACTTTACAATCTTCAAGCGAACGAAAACTTAGAAGTCCACGATAAATGTGTTTTCTGATCTCGAATCTATTTTTTTACAAGAAACAGTAACCTAAAAAATTTCGCTATTAGATTAGAACTTCTATAGTACCAAAAATTCGCAAGAAAAACTTTTCGTTAGTGCGCAGAAGGCGGTTTCTTAGGTAAAATTTTGATTTATGACTGATTTTTCGGATTGTTTTGATTTTTTGTAATTGTTTTTCTGCGTCATACCTGATTTTGTAATCTGATTGGCCAACGAAATTTTTTCCCCTACCAGTCAGAGGACATATTATTATTATTTTTTTTTATGGTAAGGTTTATTGGTAATATGTTGGCTTATAGCTGTGTACAACAACTACAGAGGTAATATGAAAAGAGTGTACAACTTTAGTCATTGTCTATTTTAAGTAGTCTGTTCAAAGATTTTATACTAATTGTTATATCTATAACTGGTTTGTAAGTTTTTTATTTAAACATTCTAGTTTTTGTATTTACATTTATTTTACCAACTGCACTTAAGTACAAATATGTTATGATCATTAAGTCATATTTAACTTTGTATTAAACTTATTTAGATTTTTTTTTTTTTATTTCTTTGATAGTCTTGTTAGAGTTTTAATACAAAATTTTACTAACTAAAACATTATTTATTTCTAGTAATTCACTTTTTAAAATTGCAAGTTTGGCATTATCCAAGTACAGAAGCTGCATCTAAATGTAATTTATTGTATCAATTTATTTCTAAATTGGAAAATTTTGTTAGTTTTGTCAAGAACTAAACCAAAATGAATTATTTTTATTCTGTATTATTTTATTAATATTTTTTATAAACAACTATTTATATTCTATTTTTTTTTCTTTGTTTTTTTTTTACTTTGATTTTATTTACTAATATTTTTTTACTTTTAGTCTTCTTTGTACTGTATTTTTCATTTTCAATTGCTTTAACTTTTTTTTGTTTTAATTTTAATATTATTTCATTCTTTTTTTTTTATTTGATTATTGTTCTATATCTTTGTTACTAAATTTCTTTTTTGAACATCTTTTCTACAATTTTAATATATAATTTAATATTTAGTTTTGTACCTTTATATAAAACTTGTTTAGTATACAATTTTTTAAATATATTCTCAATTAATAAATTATGTATGTATATTTTTTTATATTTAATTTTATCTACTTTAATTTTATCTACTAATGTTTTTTTTAGATCAAGTCTTATAAGTTTGCTCTTGTTTAACTTATTGAACTTTTTCTATACTAACCAATATACTAACTTTTCAATATTATTCTAATAATTCTCATATTGTTTACAACTATGCATATGTTTTGATGATTCTTTCTCTGTCTTGCATTTTTTACATACATCTAAATCATATAAGTCTAGTGTTTTTTTCTTTAATATATTAAGCATTAGTAAACTATTAATAATACACTTAATTCTAAATAAGATTTTTTTACTCTCTTCTAAAGATTTATACTTATTTTCTATTAACTTTCTGTTTTTTTTCTACAGCTGTTTCTAATCTTATTGTGTTTTTGTATCTGGTTTTAGCTCTTTTATTACACTTAAGCATTATTATTTAGTACTATTTATCATATTTGTTAATATCTTGACAAATTTTCTTATTGGTATTTCTATTACTAATTTTTTTCAAAATAATGCATATGAAAACCTCAAATTTTTTTCAAACTTCAAGTCTGGTTTTTACTTTGTTATACATTCTTTTTTGCAAATTTATTAACTTTTTTATTTTATACTACTTTATTATATGCTTTAATTTTAATTAATGTTAACCTAGAGGATAGTGATTCTAATATAATAGTTGGATTGTCATCCTCCAAGTGGCAGATCTAAAGTTCAAATTCCACCTATGATGAAATTTGGAAATTAACCTATATTATAGCTAAACTGTCTTCTGTCAATTGGTTGGATTTAGGTATCTGTAATCTTGAGTACAACCAATCAGGTTCTACTTATCATTGGAAGCCTGAGGTATCTATGTAATGTATAACAGTACATGTATATATAGGAATATTAAAACTAAGATTGTATAAGATTCTGGTGCAAACCCATGATAAGACTACCGGATGTAAAAGACCAAGAAACTAAGAAGATGGAATTCTAATTGGAAATCCTAAAAAAGAGGTAGCACAAATCTTCGATAGTGCTGTCAGATCAATGGAAGTCCAGGACATCCCAATAAGGAATAGGCAGACATGCAACTGAATAAAAAGATGTATAAAGAAGCATATGACCAACCAGGCTGTCAGAATCACTAGAAGAAAAAGATATCAAAAGATATATCATATTAGATTATTTGGATTAGAAGTTTGAAAAGTCTGTCAGATTCAGAATTGGATAGTATAGGGATGAAAAGAAGAAGTCAAAAAGATAGGTACCATGGTTTGGATGAACTTTCAAGAGTAAAAATATTGTAATGTAGCAGTTTAAGATTAGCCCTTACTGCAAGTGTTAGGTAACTATAACATGTTACATGAAATCCAGGTTAGCTGTATGTGGGACACGGAGGCTCTGGTAGGTTTATCTTGAAGATAAAATAGTTCTAAGGTTGAGACAAAGATCTGGGCTTAACCTAGTGAAGTTGGTATAAGAGTTTCAGATCAGAGAGTTTAAATGGAACACTTAAGCAAAGGTGTTAGATATAGCAACTGATAGAGAACCTTTAGATGGACCTCTTAAATAAGTAATATAGAAAAATTACATATGTAGCCAGTTGTATACTTGTTATAATACCTGACAGAAGTATTAATAAAGTTAAAAAACCAAAAAGGTCACCTTAATACTGAAAAAAAAAAATAATGTTAACCTGATGTTTTTCAACTTACACATGTTTTTGATCTTTGTGACTAATTTAAAGTTCTTATTCTTATTTTATGCTCTAATATTCTGTAGTGACTTCTCTTTTTTTAAACTTGTAATTGCTACTGTACTATCTAATTTAATAACTATCTTACTATTAGATATTACAACTAATATATATCATTATTTATATTGCAGCTAACTTTGTCTTTGTAGATGATGATTATTTTGCTACTCTAATTTTTTCTTCTATTATTAATTTATTTTCATCTTTGCTAATTTATACCTAACTTACACTTATTTTGCAATTTTTTTTCATTTTGATTAATGACTTATCTGTATAAAAGCTATAATTTGTATATTCTATTTTCATGTTTTTTTTTAATTATTACAATAATAAGGTTTCTAAGTTAGTATTAAATTCTTATATTTTTACAAAACTGATCTTATATATATATATTCTTATTTCTTTATTTATAACTTTTCTTTACTATTAAAACTATCTTCTATATAGCTTTCTTTATATTTATTTAGTTCTTTTAACAAAACTAAGATCTTTTATTTGTTCTCTTGTCTAATTCCTGACAGCATACTAGCTATTTTTTTTTTCTAATCTAATGCTAACAATTAATTGTATTATTTTTATTATCCAAATTGCACTTTTTATATTTTATAAGTATTAGATAATTTTTATTCTTAATTTTAGATATATTTTAGTGATTTATAGGTTTTTTTTTTTAACTATTCTGTCTATCATTAAATCTATATTTTTCTTATTTACTAACACTTATTTATGTTTTTTCTTATCTTGTATTAGTTTCTTGCATATAGATTACATTGTCATAATATATGTGTCTTGTGTTTAAAATTCTGCTTAGACTGTTCTATTATCTTAATTATTTAACATTTTCTGTTTAATTTTTACAAACCACTTTGCTTTTTATTCTTTTTATATATTTGTTCATAATACTTTAAATTTCTTCTAATAATTATTTTCTTGTCATCTTGATTAATTAATTGTTATATAAAAAATATTCTATACTTCATCAAACTACTATATATTATTTTAAATGTTTTATTTTTTTCAAACTATATACAGTTTTAACTGTACTATTAATCTGCCAAAGACTACTTTCTGCCTTTATTGTTATATATATTTCTTTTACTTTAAGTATAACTAAACATGTCAAATTATTTTTTTAAATCTTCTTTAAGTTGCTTATCAATATTGTATCTAATTTTTCTAACATCAATCCTATCAAAGCAAAGTCTTGTTTTGCTTATATTTTTGTTATTTTACAAAACTGATCTAGTTTATTTAGTCTTCTTTGTACTAATACTAACTGATTATTAAATATTTCTTGACTTAATATTTTACATTTTTCTAAATTTTGATACATAATTATACTATTTTCTATAGTTGATGACAGACCTATTTTGTTTTTAATTAGTCTAATTACTGATTAATATAAGCAATTTAGCTGCTCTTTAGATGTCTTTGTAGTTTGCAATATATATATATCAGTTTTGATATTATATATTGTAATAAAATTTACTAAAAACTAGCAAGCTGTAATAATTTTAAATGCACGAATGCTAAGTAAAAGATTTTTTATTTAAAGGAAAATAAAATAAATAAAAATAACTAGAAATAAAAAATAAATATTTAAAAATAAAATTTAAATTCAATAGCCTTCTAGATACTATAAGGATTTTTACAATAGGCCAGTTGTAAGAAAGATTTGACCTATTGTTCTTTTTGTATTAGTCAGACTTAACAAATAGTTTATCCTTTATAAGAATTGCCTGTGCTAGACTTAGAAGTATTCTAAAACACTAAAAGAGGTGATTAGCAACAGATAATTAGGCTGTTCTAAGCTATATATGACTTTTTAAATTCCAATAACATAAAGCTAATACCTGCCAAAGTACTATTTATAAATACAGCTATTACTTTATATTATTATAAGAAAGAAAAATAAAATATTTAATAATATAAAGCTAGTATTTGCCAAAATAACTAATTAAGAAAACCAGCTTTTCACTTTATATTATTATAAGAAATAAAGAAGAAAAATAAGAAAAATAAAGATAAAATATAAAGAAAAATAAAATAAAGAATAAAATAAAAAATAGTTTTTATAAATAATATTTAAAGAATAATAATTAAAAGGTTATTTTATTAAAGAGTTGTTGGTTAAATAATTATTACAAGAAACTTTTTTAAAAGCAGAATTTTCAAGAACTATTAAAAGTTATTTAAGAGCTATTAAAAGCTGTTCAAAAACTTTTAAGAACTATTAAGGATTATTAAAAGCTTTCTAAAAGTTATTCTAAGAACTGTTCTTTTAGAAAGACAAAAAGCTATTCTTTTTATAGCTTTTAGCCTAATAATTGATTGGTTTTAGAGCTACCATGTATTGTAGCATCATCCTAAACCATATGGATGTCCAAAATGTAGCAG